TTGTATTTGCCTTTGAAAAAGACTCATTAAGAGTCGAAAGCGCTTAGGCTAGTTAGTTACTAGTTTCGTACTGTTCGTCGTCAGTTTATTGCATCTATATATATATATATATATATATATATATATATATATATATATATATATATATTCTTTATTAATAGTTCTTGTTTAAATAATGTATGCATTCATCAGAAAACAAAATTATAGAGCAATAATGATATACTATTATTAAACATGAAATCACATTTACATTTGAAGATTACATGTATTAGCATATGAAATCATTTCTGATTTTCTCCGACATTTAAACTGCTATTTTGCTAGTGGTCTGCTTTTTTTCCATTCTTTCAGTTAAAATAATTATTTTCTAGTTTTAAAATTTGTTTTTTTTAGCTGAAAGTTCGTCCATTGTTACTTATGTACTTGGTATTAACATTATTAGTTCTCATTTGTAATGACTGTAAAGATGCTTTTGACTGGGTTTTGGAAAAAAGTATGAAAAATATATACATATGCATTGCATTTCTAATAGTTAATGAAATAAAAACAATTATTTTATCCAGAAACAGAACCATTTACCCACAGACAAAACTCAACTGCTTAATTCAAAGAAGACATGCAGTAATTATCTATTGTGTAACCCAATCACACAGCTTGAGTAGATGATAAATTGGGATGCAATCACTATAACATTAGGGGAAAAAAACCCAACAAACATCACAAACCATTACTACTATCAGTCCAATCTTGCAAATGATAATCTCTTACTAGTTTAATAGACTAAAGACCTTTTTTACCCCCTAGGCAATATTAATTAACTCTAAAGACAAACAATATATGCAACCACTACCTTAATTTCGGCACTACAGTAGCAATTTGTGACATGTACATTAGTATGGTTTACAGACTGTAGTATCCACCACCAGTAGGCATAATCCCTTTGTTTTTTGTGAAAGGGGGTTTATGGGCTTTTATTATGAGAAAATTTTTTAACAATCAATCGGCTGTTGTTACAAATGATTACATAAAGGTCAGTGGTGTCTATCCTTATGATAGGATTGTTTATAGTGCTGGATATGTATGTCATACTCATGGTACAGTCATTAATAGAGCTGGATATGTGTGTCATACTCATGGTACAGTCATTAATAGAGCTGGATATGTGTGTCATACTCATGGTACAGTCATTAATAGAGCTGGATATGTGTGTCATACTCATGATACAGTCATTAATAGAGCTGAATATGTGTGTCATACTCATGGTACAGTCATTAATAGAGATGGATATGTGTGTCATACTCATCCATATGTGCAGTAGCTTGATAAGGCTGGAAATCATGCCAAGTGCTGGAATAATCTACATGTACTTTAGTCTGGTTTACAATGGAAATTACAAAACACTCTAAGCATACATACAAAATGTCAGTATCTATCATATGTTTTTGTTTGTTTTTATTAGAACAGTATGAAGTCATTGTTACAGGGATTAAATGAAAGTCATTAGAGTTTATCCACATTTTTGCAATTTGGTAATTCATAGCTGTGTCAAAATGCATATTTTGCCAAGACATCACAGCCACTGGTTGTGTTCAGCAGGTGTTGGTCACTCATAACAGTGTTTATATGATAAAATTCATCAAGTATTGCAGTGGTCAGAAATGACAGGTGGTCACACTTATAACAGATTTTACTTCATCAAACATGCAGCACAATCAAAAGGTAGGAAAATAAAGAGGTACTGCCTTTTCAATGTACAAGGAATTTAGGTCAAGCATTCACAGGAAGACGTGGAACACTACTTTGCACTGAACAAGTTCATGTACATTGATCAAAAGGATTATTGGAATGAAAATGAGTGCTTTCATCACAAACCAACAACTCTTCAAATTACATGCATGGCAGAAAAGTTGGAAAATATCACTTGGAAATTAAAAAACTAATTTATGGAAAAGGATATAACTTAAATCAAAACTTGTATTGCATCAAACACAGTGTCTATATAGCAAAACACAAATATTATTAAAAATAAAAAAGGTGTTTAGTAGTTGCACAGAATTAGAAGCAATATATTTGCAAGTAAATTTCCATGTTAAACAGCATTGATAGACAGTTTATTTCTGTGTTGGATAGTATTACATTTATTCATACTATTTTCAAATCCAAATAACTGGATACAGGTAATGTGTAATGAATATCATATCTGGATTTCTGAATGGGAATAGTGGTATAAAAATATTTTAATATACAGTATTTTTTGTACTGCAACATTACATCTAATTCTCAAATTAATTTGTATGTTGCACTTATAAAATTACCACTGCTCATAATGAATCAAAAGCATAAAAAGCAGTATAAAAAGGAATTGTATATGGGAACTTTCTAAAGGCTTGTTGGTCACATGATAATGTTACATTATTTCTAATGGCCATGAAATATTTTCTGATTTGTTGAGTTTGGCCTTCTCTGATATATATCTTGGCCTCCCCTGATATATATCTTGCCTAGGGTGTTGTCATCCCACAAAGTTTCTCTGCCTATTATATTGTTGTTGTTACATGGATAGGGTCTGATGCTAAGTGAATCAAAGACATGTGTAATCATAGGTTGATAATTCATGTTTCTTCCAATTCCCATGGACCTCAAGACACCAATCCATGTCAACTGAAAGATTCTTACTTCATTACCTAATCTGCAAGTACTAAGTGCTCTCCCAACCAAGCCAGCTAATCTTCCTGCCTTTTAACAGCTGTTTGTAGGCTAAACCACAAAGTATCATAAATTGCACATGATAAGATTCTTACTTCATTACCTAATCTGCAAGTACTAAGTGCTCTCCCAACCAAGCCAGCTAATCTTCCTGCCCTTTAACAGCTGTTTGTAGGCTAAACCACAAAGTATCATAAATTGCACCGGAGTGAAAGTTACTTGAGTTAGTGCAATTCTGTTCACATTTTCTATATCAGTCTTGTCCCATGCAAACAACACTACATATATCAGTTTAGTGAGTATTGAAACAATAACAAATAAAAAATATATGCTAGCTTTAGTATTTAATCATTTTCCAAATCGCTTAGAAGATCTGATCTTACATTAATAAGCTCATTCAATTAAAATGTCATGAAAAAACGGAGACTGTAAAATTTAAAAGATTCAACAGTTTTAGTCTTCTAAAAGTTCATTCTCCATGGATTCTTATGTTAGCTTTAGTATTTTATCAAACCACCAGCAAATAATTATAACTTTACCATAAGACAAAAGTTATAAATTATTCTCAGATGTAATTAACAACACTACATGTATCAATTTAGTATATTGAACCCATGATGTAATTAACAACACTACATATATCTATTTAGTGTGTATTGGACACATGTAATTAACAACAGTACATGTATCAATTTAGTGTGTATTGAATCCATGATGTAATTAACAACACTACATATATCAATTTAGTGTGTATTGAACACATGATGTAATTAACAATGCTACATATATGTATATCAATTTAGTGTGTATTCAACCCATGTTGTAATTAACAATACATGTATAAATTTAATGTGTATTGAACCCATGATGTAATTAACAACACTACATATATCAATTTAGTGTGTATTGGACACATGATATAATTAACACTACATATATTAGTTAAGTGTGTAGTGAACCCATGAAAAATAAAATACAAGCTGTAGTATTTAATCATTTTCCAAATCACTTATAAGATAGGATCTTACATTAACAAGGTCATGCAGCTCGTGCAATTAAAACAGCATCAAAAAGTTTAAGATATCAAACTGAGACTAGAATCTGAAACAGTTTTAGTCCTTCTCCATGGATTCTTACATCTGCATTTCCTGTATGAAAGTAAATCATCTGCACTTGCTTCTTGTAAAAGCAGGAATATTGAGCTCTGGAAAAAGTCCTCTATTTTAAAGCCATGGCTTGCTATGGTCTCCTCTTCTGGCAAGAGATAATTTAATAAACCACATTTTTTAACAATAAATTTGTCACTAGCTTGATCACCAACTGCTTTTGATATACACAATATTTGACAATGTAGAGAAATTCCATTTAAGTATTTGGCATTATGAGATTTATAGTTGCTGTCTCTAGGTTTGTTGACCTTTATAAGTACAATCTATTATGCATGATGTATGTGGGTAATTCTGTCTGAAAGATTTCAGACAACAATTTCACATGGGAACCAAAGAACCAGACATTTCAATTTATCTGCCAATAGTGGAATCCAAGAATAATTTTCAGAAGCCAAACTTCCTGAAATTCCAATTCTTTTACTCAGTTCCTTATATACGATTCAATTAAATTTCCTCAAAACTAATTATTTGATCATCTGATTCTAACTCAGTTAAAAGTCTTAAACTGAACCATAACATTTACCAGTGTGAGCAACACTTATTTGTTTATGCCTGTATAGGGGACAACATCACAGTTTCAGAAGTTGACAATTTTGTTATCAGTTTTGGTCTGCACTTCTTTTTCATCTGTCAGAGATGTCTTTATTTGGGTAAATTGCATTTGAAAGTTTATGTACTCTTTGCATATGCATGTCCACATTGTTCTTTAAAGTTTGATTCACGATACTGAGTACCAACACAAGAGTCTGGACTGTTCAGAATGAATGATCCCAACTGCATGGGGAAAGCTCTTTAACTAAATTATCTGATATTTCCAGGCATGAAGGACCTTGTATTTCATGTTCAGATTTGAAATAAGTGCCTATAATGTTTTTTTAACTTCCATATCTGTGTGTGTGTAGTTTTTTTAACAGAGATTTACAATTTTTTTGAGATATTGGCACGATGTCTGCAGTGTGATAGTTTATAGTGATGTCTAGCACTGGGGCATCATGCCATAGACATGTAGTGTGATGTCCCAACCAGTCACTTTATCCTGACACCAGGTCAACCAGTCCTAACACTTAACTTCATGCTGAGTGCCAAGTGAGGCAGCTGTTAGTACCATTTTTAAAGTCTTTGGTATGACTAAGCCAGGGTTTGAACACATGATTTCCCACATCTGAGGTGGATGCTCTAACCACTAGGCCACCGGATTGGTCATATCTTTGTAAATCTTGCATCTGCTGGGAATTTTCAAATCCCAATTTTAGTTTTCTTTTGGTTAGTCTTCCATCTAAAATGTTTTGAACAAAAGAAATTTTTCTGTTTAAAGCTTTTATTCACTCATGATGGTAAAATATGAAATTTGTAAGGAACTAAACATGCACATTCAATATTACCACAAGGATTCTATAATTTAAATTTTCTTGAGTACATTCATTGCCAGTACATGAATCTCCACTGCATGTTTCATACTTGATTTTATTTCCATTGTAAACACATCAATACATGTACAGGTGAGAAAAAATGTAAACAAAACAGCTGCATCAGACAAATTCCCAAGAGTGTAATGGCTGATGTACCATGTGACCAAAAATGGCAGCACATGAAAATTGGATCAGTACAAGATAAATCTGTAAATAGCCTCTGTAAGGGATTATTTGTGCACTGCTATATTGTGACATAGCCACTGTAAGGAATAATTTGTTGACTGCTCTATTAATATGACATAACCTCTGTAAGGAATAATTTGTTGACTGCTCTATTAATGTGACATAGCCACTGTAAGGAATAATTTGTTGACTGCTCTATTAATGTGACATAACCTCTGTAAGGAATAATTTGTTGACTGCTCTATTAATGTGACATAACCTCTGTAAGGAATAATTTGTTGACTGCTCTATTAATGTGACATAACCTCTGTAAGGAATAATTTGTTGACTGCTCTATTAATGTGACATAACCTCTGTAAGGAATAATTTGTTGACTGCTCTATTAATGTGACATAACCTCTGTAAGGAATAATTTGTTGACTGCTCTATTAATGTGACATAACCTCTGTAAGGAATAATTTGTTGACCGCTCTATTAATGTGACATAACCTCTGTAAGGAATAATTTGTTGACTGCTCTATTAATGTGACATAACCTCTGTAAGGAATAATTTGTTGACTGCTCTATTAATGTGACATAACCTCTGTAAGGAATAATTTGTTGACTGCTCTATTAATGTGACATAACCTCTGTAAGGAATAATTTGTTGACTGCTCTATTAATGTGACATAACCTCTGTAAGGAATAATTTGTTGACTGCTCTATTAATATGACATAACCTCTGTAAGGAATAATTTGTTGACTGCTCTATTAATGTGACATAACCTCTGTAAGGAATAATTTGTTGACTGCTCTATTAATGTGACATAACCTCTGTAAGGAATAATTTGTTGCCTGTGCTCTATTAATGACAATTTGCTGACATAAAGGACTCTGTTGATAATTAAGTTATGTATAGTAATCCCTTTCTTCTCCTTTCTATGCATCATAAGTGACATATCAATAAAATCTCCATTCTTGCACAGGACTTGAGAAATGAGCTGGAGAAAGTACTCCAGGAAAAGATAAATAATCCTGGAGTTACAAACTGGGACCCCAGAACAAAAGAAGGGGCTGTTTTGTGCGCTATACTACACCTGGTAAAAACAGAAGACCTGCATTACCAGACCGAGAATAATTTTCAATAAAATCGTCGACAGGACTACAATTGAATGTGTAGCCGGTCTAAAAAGGACCAACATTTTATTGAAAATTGAAACTGTTATTTTATATTTTATATTATTTTATATTAAGATGATTTTTATCACTCTTTTTTATCAATTGTTTTAGATTTTGATAATTTTATAAATTTTTATCAATAGTTTTAGATTTTATCAATCTTATCAATTTGTGTCAATTTTTTTAGATTTTAGATGTATTGTTTTTAATTTTAGTTGTAGTATGAAACAGGAAATTTCCAAATAAAAACATGGTCTTAGCCCTTTCCACCTGAAAGGGCTCGCTAATGTCATGGAATTTTTTTACACTTGCTTAGAGATTCTGCTGTTATAGGAATAATGGTTTAAAATTGTGATAATCATACCCGGTCTATAAATCTTAATTTTTACTACTGGTTCCTCTGGAAACCAATATAGGTGTTAAACAATATTTTGTACTGTGCTATCATTTCTATATTACACAGTAAGTATTTACTGGTATTTAATGGTTTTATCAATAATTATGATTTTATTTTCTTTAGATATTGTTGTGATAATATTGGACTTATTTGTGAATTAAAATGTTGAAAAGGAAAGCAGGAGAATTTTTAAAAAAATATATGGATTACATAGAGTTGATGTTGTGGCCCTTTGTTAGAAAATTTATTATGACTATATCAATTTATACAACATGCATGGCTGTGTAGTGTGCATACATTTGTCACATCATACTGATTATGTCATTAATTTAAAGCATAAGAAAACACTACAAAATTGTATTCAATATACAGTTGATCACAAAGCAGGTTCTAGAACTAAAATTTTTTTGGGGGGGCAGTATGTCATCCTTGTCTTGGGGAAAAACTAGAAGTTTTCTGAATATAGGGATAATTTAACAAAATAAGTCTTTATAATTTTAAAATTACTGATCAAGGTTTTAGTTAAAGTCCATTTTTTATTCAAATAAAAGTCCATAATCATGGGGTGGATACCTATCTTGGGCTGTTAAACTATATATCAATGAACCCTTACCCTCATTATCCTTGTACAAGGTCAAGGTCATTTAAAAATAATTATGTATTTGTATTAGGGAGAGGAGCAGACAGCATGCTTCTTTATTAATGAACATTTCTCTTGGATGGGTCAAGACTAAAATGTGGACAATATGATATTACATTCAGATAAAAACAGATTGGTGATGGAAATAACAAGTAGGTGATGCCTCTGTCCTCTTTCTTTGTGATTACTGGCAGCCATGTATCATGATTTAATATGCCTGTATGTAAAACCTGAAAATAAAAATGAAATGATATATACTTTAGCAGTCCAATATTGATTTAGACTGTGTTACTGCTTTAAGTTTAGGACCAGAATATTTCTGGAAATAGGGATGACTGATGCAAATAAAGCATTTCTCTTCACCTTTTGCTGATGGTTTTTCATAATTGCACAGTGGATTTGGTTGGACAAATTTGGTGGAAAGTTGTCTTTGAGACAACTATATTATAATCAATTTAGCTTGCATTTACTGTTGTTTTTCTCTGAATGGCTTTAGTGCAGAATGACAAAGCATTGAGTAAAATGTGTATTTAGAAGGAAACAGGAATTCACTCTTGCAGCCATGGAACTAATGGTCATGAGTTTAAAATTCAGCACACTAGCAGAGTCACTTGTATCGTGTCACTCAGACCATGGCATTTACACTTATAAATGGATACTTGAAATTGTTAATATGTAAGCATAGTCTTATGAGAACTATCCCTTTCCCATTCAGTGAATTTCTACATCAATATGATAAATGCTTGCTAAGATTTTTCATCCCTATGAAAAGCTGAAGAGAGTTACCACACAAAACACATCAGGTTGATATACTGACCTTGCTTACAATGTTTTCTTTAAATTTGATTATTTACCTTTTAAAAAAGTATTAACAGAACCTCTGATGAATCATGTTCTTTTGAAGAAAAGTGTTTAAAACTTGAAAGTAACTAGTTTCATAGATTCTCAAAAGCAGCCTGTGTGCATGACTGCACACTATGTATATTGCATTTTCAGTGTTTTTATCTTTTACATGTAAATAGCTGCATGAAATATGACCATCCTAAGGCTTGTTTATCTAAATTGTCTGATGAATTCACCTATAATATGTACTAAAACCTAAATCCTGTCATTAGTGGTAGAAAAATGCTGCAAACAAAGCAATCACTTGTCAAAGAGTTTAGCTGTAAATCATGATGTGCAGATAGAATGTAAGGTTAAGTTTCAAATCAGTTTAGTTTGTTTGTATGCTATGTATACAGTCCAGATGAATCTCATCTCCATTGATAAACTTATTCTGGAAAAGAGTCCAGTCTTACTGTAGCATTCAAATTCAGTTTTTATGGAAAAGTAACTTGACTGATTGAAACAGTTCAGATTTTGTTCTGATGCAATCATAACCAGACCAATTATAGTAGTTCAGTTCAAATGGAAACATGCAAAGTATATAACTTGGATGAATTTACAACTGATGCTTAATAAATAAAACATTTCCACAGTTTAAGTTTGTGACAAAATTAGTCACAATTTATCTTCTTCATTTTAAGTGCACTATTAAATTTATACACAATGCTGGACTAGCATGTATGTATTTAGTAAGGTAGTCCTGTACTAATTCATGGAGAAAATAGCCAACGGATTAAAACATTTTAGCAGAAATGTAAGAGTTGCATAGATTGTAATCATGCTATTCTACCAAAATGGCCAATACTAGAATTGCCCAAATTGTGATTAGAAAATACTGATATGTTTGAAAATGTAGTGTACAAGATAAACGTCCTGTTTCAGACCTGACTCCTGTTTAGCTTAGTTATTACCCATTATTAACTTGAATTTCTTTTCACTATTATTTTTTCTGTATGAATTGTTTTACTTGTCAAACTAATAAGAGTTTGATTTATTACCAGATTATCGGGTTATCTGTTAGAATATAGTATCATTACACATCCTGCTATTATTACCTTATTATGGAGTATTTGCATTGATCCTGTAATGTAAATTATTTGTCTTAAATGTTTTTATTTATTCCATTACATATTATTGTAATGATAACCAAGTCTACTGGATATGATATTTTGCTTTTTTTTAGACATTCAGTTCAGTTCTGTTTGACGTGATATACAACCAGTAGTTGGAACATTGTATCTAGTTTCTGACCTTGATTACGAGATCAGATTTCTATTAATAGAGTTCTATTAAACAACTTTTACAAAAAGTCTGTTTTGCATCTTAACTTAACAGTATAACAGTTTTAACAAAGATTTTATTGAATAATGAATTAATTTTGGATTTGATTCATAAACCATAAGTCCTTTTTCTCATTTTACCATGTTTTTTCCTAATGAAATAAATTATTTTTTTACAAAGCATGTTTCTTCACTCTTTTCTTGTTACTTTTGTACAAGCCTAGACACATAAGAAAATTGGAGGCTT